AGGATTTTGTTTCATAACTGGCTGTCATTGGGAATGCCTGCAGAAGCCTGTTTCAGAAGGCTGTGCTTGCTGGGGGTGGCTGTCTGCCAACTGGCTGCCACATCCATGTCATCATTTGGCCGAGAAGCTTCCCTTTGTTTTCGCCCACACTGCGCTCAAGTCATTACATGCGTGATTGAGGCTGCGCTGTCAAAGCTGCCCGTGTCGTGGGTGACTTTGGGAGGCTGTGGCTGCTGTCCGTGATGGCTGTGTGTGAGTGTGGTGATACTGTGAGGGCTGGCTGTGTTTGTGAGTGTGGTAATACTGTCACAGGGATGGCTGTGTGTGAGAGAGGCAATACTGTCACAGGGCTGGCTGTGTGAGTGTGGCAATGCTGTCAGGGCTGGCTGTGTGAGTGTGGTAATACTGTCTCAGGGATGGCTGTGTGTGAGAGAGGCAATACTGTCACAGGGCTGGCTGTGTGAGTGAGGCAATGCTGTCAGGGCTGGCTGTGTGAGTGTGGTAATACTGTGAGGGCTGGCTGTGTTTGTGGTAATACTGTCAGGGCTGGATGTGTGTGAGTGTGGCAATACTGTCAGGGCTGTGTGTGAGTGTGGCAATACTGTCAGGGATGGCTGTGTTTGTGGTAATACTGTCAGGGCTGGCTGTGTGTGAGTGAGTGAGGCAATACTGTCAGGGCTGTGTGTGAGTGAGGCAATACTGTCAGGGCTGGCTATGTGAGTGTGGTAATACTGTGAGGGCTGGCTGTGTTTGTGGTAATACTGTCAGGGCTGGATGTGTGTGAGTGTGGCAATACTGTCAGGGCTGTGTGTGAGTGTGGCAATACTGTCAGGGATGGCTGTGTTTGTGGTAATACTGTCAGGGCTGGCTGTGCGTGAGTGAGTGAGGCAATACTGTCAGGACTGTGTGAGTGAGTGTGGCAATACTGTCAGGGATGGCTGTGTTTGTGGTAATACTGTCAGGGCTGGCTGTGTGTGAGTGAGGCAGTACTGTCAGGGCTGGCTGGCTGTGACCCGGGTTCGATTTCTGCTGACGGGCAGTACCAGTGACGTCTATCTGAGCCTCCCCTAGGTCGACTCAGCCTCAAATGAGTACGGTGTGTAAACATTGCCACTCGGGAGACGAAGGCGGCTGGGCACGGTGCTGGCCACCCACCCCCTCGTGTGTGTTGTGTCGGTCTTAATAGGTGCTCGCTGACAACTCGTGTGTATGGATAGTTATTTATTGCAAGGATTGTGTGTTATCTTGGCCGTGGTCTGGGACTGTTAAGTTGTTTTTGCTGCCTTGCCCAATCTTGATAAAAATCGGACTCATATACCATGAGACCTCCTTTGCCAGTACCAAAATATGATAATAGGGTTTTCCCCTTTTTTTGGACTCTCATATTTTAATTATTGTGTATTTATATTTAGTGGCTTGCTTACATTTGTCGCTACTTTGCACTCCCATCTTCTTCTTTGTTGTTGTTGTTGGATTGTTTGCTGTTGTTGGAACTTGCTGACCCCCGCCCCATACGGAACATCTGTGGGAACAAACAAAAAAGTAATTTTGGTCTAAATCTGATTGTGAATATTGTTAAGGCTATACGGGGAGAGTAAACCAGGAATTGCAACAACCGGCATCATCAGGCGACCGACAGAGTTGCGGATACATCTTCTTAAATACGGCAGAGAGAGAGAGAGAGGGGGACGATGTTTGTGTTTGATGGATGTAAGGCTGGCAGGGGAGAGGGCATAGCTGTCAACCCAGTGCCGGACTAAGCTAGTGCAGAGCCTATAGCATATGTTAGAAAGGGGCCCTAATTATAACAAAACACATAAATATGAAAACACACATTTTTCACTTGCATAGTAAGGTATATATATTTTTATTTGCTATACAGCCACATAATACGACACATCGCTATCCTTAAACACCCAGTCGTTCATAAAAGTTGAAGGCGGTATAGTACTATAGTAATAGAGCAAGTGCAGAATCACTGAACCGGAATTGACAGCTTGAAAGCATTTAGCGTGGGGCCCTTGAAAGTGCAGGGCCGGTAGCTTCGACATATGTAGCTACTACACATGTAGCTCCTACACATGTAGCTACTACATATGTAGCTCCTACACATGTAGCTACTACAGATGTAGTACTACATATGTAGTAGCTTCTACAGATGTAGCTACTACACGTGTAGCTACTACATAGGTACTACTACACATGTAGCTACTACACATGTAGCTTCTACACATGTAGCTACTACACATGTAGCTTCTACACATGTAGCTAGTAGCTACTACACATGTAGCTACTTTTGCTACTAGGGTAATCCGGCACTGTGTCAACCCATAGGGTTTAACCCCGTATTCTTGTACAGGGTCAATTGAGTTTTTCAGGTCCATACGGCGTCAATATCGGGCAACAACTAAAACACCCCGTTTTTTCGTCTATTTGTTTGTGTTTCTCTCCTTGTGGTGGGACTTTGTAGGACGTACTTTGAGATATATGATTGTTGTGTGTGGAGGGGGGCAGTGTGTGGGGGCAGTGTGTGGGGGGCAGTGTGTGGGGGCAGTGTGTGGGGGGGGGCAGTGTGTGGGGGGGGGGGCAGTGTGTGTGGGAGGGGCAGTGTGTGTGTGGGGGGGGGGCAGTGTGTGGGGGGGGGGCAGTGTGTGTGGGGGGGGGGCAGTGTGTGGGGGGGGGGCAGTGTGTGGGGGGGGGCAGTGTGTGTGTGGGGGGCAGTGTGTGGGGGGGGGCAGTGTGTGGGGGCAGTGTGTGGGGGGGGGGGGCAGTGTGTGGGGGGGGGGGGGCAGTGTGTGTGTGTGGGGGGGCAGTGTGTGTGTGTGGGGGGGGCAGTGTGTGTGTGGGGGGGGGGCAGTGTGTGTGTGGGGGGGGGGGCAGTGTGTGGGAGGGGGGGCAGTGTGTGGGGGGGGCAGTGTGTGTGTGGGGGGCAGTGTGTGGGGGGGCAGTGTGGGGGGGGCAGTGTGTGGGGGGGGGGCAGTGTGTGTGGGTGGGCAGTGTGTGGGGGGGGGCAGTGTGTGTGTGTGGGGGGGGCAGTGTGTGTGGGGGTGGCAGTGTGTGTGTGGGGGGGGCAGTGTGTGGGGGGGGCAGTGTGTGTGTGGGGGGCAGTGTGTGGGGGGGGGGCAGTGTGGTGGGGGCAGTGTGGGGGGGGGCAGTGTGGGGGGGGGGGCAGTGTGTGTGGGGGGGCAGTGTGTGTGTGTGGGGGGCAATGTGTGTGTGGGGTGGCAGTGTGTGTGTGGGGGGCAGTGGTGTGGGGGGGGCAGTGTGGGGGGGCAGTGTGGGGGGGGGCAGTGTGTGTGTGGGGGGGGGCAGTGTGTGTGTGTGGGGGGCAGTGTGTGGGGGGGGGGCAGTGTGTGTGTGGGGGGGGGGCAGTGTGTGTGGGGTGGGGGGGGCAGTGTGTGTGTGTGGGGGGGGGGGGGCAGTGTGGTTGTGGGGTGGGGGGGGGCAGTGTGTGTGGGGTGGGGGGGCAGTGTGTCCCCGGGGGGGGGGGGGCAGTGTGTGTGTGTGGGGGGGGGGGCAGTGTGTGTGTATGTGGGGGGGGCAGTGTGTGTGTGTGGGGGGGGGGGGGGGGGTGCAGTATGTGTGTGGGGGGGCAGTGTGTGGGGGGGGCAGTGTGTGGTGTGTGGGGGGGGGGGGCAGTGTGTGTGTGTGGGGGGGGGTGCAGTGTGTGTGTGTGGGTGGGGGGGCAGTTGTGTGTGTGTGTGGGGGGGGGTGCAGTGTGTGTGTGTGGGGGGGTGGGGTGGTGCAGTGTGTGTGTGTTGGGGGGCAGTGTGTGGGGGGGGGCAGTGTGTGTGTGTGGGGGGGGGTGCAGTGTGTGTGTGGGGGGGGGGCAGTGTGTGGGGGGGTGGCAGTGTGTGTGTGTGGGGGGGGGCAGTGTGTGTGGGGGGTGGCAGTGTGTGTGTGGGGGGCAGTGTGTGGGGGCAGTGTGTGGGGGCAGTGTGGGGGGGGGGCAGTGTGTGGGGGGGGCAGTGTGTGTGGGGGGGCAGTGTGTGTGTGTGGGGGGGCAATGTGTGTGTGGGGGGGCAGTGTGTGTGTGGGGGGCAGTGTGGGGGGGGGCCAGTGTGGGGGGGGGGCAGTGTGGGGGGGGCAGTGTGTGTGTGGGGGGGCAGTGTGTGTGTGTGGGGGCAGTGTGTGGGGGGGGGGCAGTGTGTGTGTGTGTGGGGGGGGGCAAGTGTGTGTGGGGTGGGCAGTGTGTGTGTGTGGGGGGGGGGCCAGTGTGTGTGGGGTGGGGGGACAGTGTGTACCCGGGGGGGGGGGCAGTGTGTGTGTGTGGGGGGGGGCAGTGTTGTGTGTATGTGGTGGGGGCAGTGTGTGTGTGTGGGGGGGGGTGCATGTGTGTGTGTGCGGGGGCAGTGTGTGGGGGGGGGGCAGTGTGTGTGTGTGGGGGGGGGGCAGTGTGTGTGTGTGGGGGGGGGGGTGCAGTGTGTGTGTGTGGGGGGGGGGGCAGTGTGTGTGTGTGGGGTGGGGGGTGCAGTGTGTGTGTGTGGGGGGGGGGGGGTGCAAGTGTGTGTGTGGGGGGGGGCAGTGTGTGGGGGGGGGCAGTGTGTGTGTGTGGGGGGGGGGTGCAGTGTGTGTGGGGTGGGGGGGCAGTGTGTCCCGGGGGGGGGGGGCAGTGTGTGTGTGTGGGGGGGGCAGTGTGTGTGTATGTGGGGGGGGGCAGTGTGTGTGTGTGGGGGGGGGGGGGCAGTGTGTGTGTGTGGGGGGGGGGCAGTGTGTGTGTGTGGGGGGGGGTGCAGTGTGTGTGTGTGTGGGGGGGGGGTGCAGTGTGTGTGTGTGTGGGGGGCAGGGAGGGAGCAGGGAGCCCTCCGTGACACTGGCGATGATTCCGCGTTGCACAAACTTCGTGAGGGTTGGCGGGCGTGCTGTGCGTGGCCGTGATGTGATGTGTCTGCTGGCTGTGAGGGGGGCTGGGAGGAAGGGAGGGGGGCTGGGAGGAAGAGAGAAGAGGCTGGGAGGGGGGCTGGGAGGGGCTAGGAGAGGGGGCTAGTGAGTGAAGAGGAGGAGGAGGAGGCTGCGAGGCTGGAGCCATGGAGCTCGGGAGAGAAGAGCGAGAGACGCCGCGTGGCGGACACAGCCAGGTGACTAAACACGTGGCCCTCCCGGGTGCACCTAGCCTGGCACGCGGGCGACGTTGGCTTCAGGGCACCACTTTTCGTGGGGCAAATGTCGTCGTGGCTCGTGTACAGTGCTGCCTATGTTGTATGCACGTGTCAACTGTACGCGCGTGTGTTTGTATTTATGTACAATGTGTGTATGTGTGTACGTGTGTGTACGTGTGTGTAAGTACAGTACACAATGTGTGTGTGTGTGTACAACATAGACGTGCGCATACGCTGCACCGAATCCGCATGTAAGTACGGGACACGTTTGTGTAACGTGATGCACGTTTCATATGCGCTGTGTACAGAGCAGTTCTTGTGTTGAGTGTTGTGTGTGCGGTGTGTGTGTGTATACAGTGTACACACACTGCCTCTGTGTGCACTGCCTGTGTGTACACACTACCTCTGTGTGTACACTGTGTGTATACTGTGTGTGTGTACACACTGCCTGTGTGTGTGTATACACTGTGTGTATACACTGTGTGTGTGTACACACTGCCTGTGTGTGTATACACTGTGTGTGTACACACTGCCTGTGTGTGTATACACTGTGTGTGTACACACTGCCTGTGTGTGTACACACTGTGTGTGTGTATACACTGTGTGTGTATACACTGTGTGTGTGTACACACTGCCTGTGTGTGTATACACTGTGTGTGTACACACTGCCTGTGTGTGTACACACTGTGTGTGTGTATACACTGTGTGTGTACACACTGTGTGTGTGTATACACTGTGTGTGTATACACTGTGTGTGTGTACACACTGCCTGTGTGTGTAGACACTGTGTGTACACACTGTGTGTGTATACACTGTGTGTGTGTACACACTGCCTGTGTGTGTGTACACACTGTGTGTGTGTACACACACACTGCCTGTGTGTGTACACACTGCCTGTGTGTGTAGACACTGTGTGTACACACTGTGTGTGTACGTACACACTGTGTGTGTGTTGTGTTGTCTAATTTGCACGCGTGTATTGAACGCGGCGCACTGTACGGGTTTGCAACATGGTACAGTGCGTTACTGTGTATCCACGCAGGCGTTCACGTCGCAGTGACAATCATTGCGATGATTACAATCAGTAGGTTCATGCACACGTGTGTGTGTGCACGTGTAACGATACAGTAGGTTCATGCACACGTGTGTGTGTGCACGTGTAACGATACAGTAGGTTCATGCACACGTGTGTGTGTGCACGTGTGACGATACAGTAGGTTCATGTACACGGTGTGTGTGTGCACGTGTGACGATACAGTAGGTTCATGTACACGTGTGTGTGTGCACGTGTGACGATACAGTAGGTTCATGCATACGTGTGTGTGCAGTGTGTGTAGTGTTTGTATTACGTGTCTATTAGTGTGTGTTTAATGTGTGTGCAGTGTGTACATGCGTAAGTATGTTAATTTGTGTGTAGTGTTTGTATGAAGTGTGTGTTAGCGTGTGTTTAATGTGTGTGCATGAGTGTGTGTGCATTATTTGTGATAAGCGTGTGTTCGTTTGTGTGTAGTGTTTGCAGTACGTGTACATTCGTGTGTGTTTAATGTGTGTTCATGAGTGTGGTGCAGTGTTTGACATAAGTGTGTTAATTTGTGTGTTGTTTTTGTAAAGTGTGTGTTAGTGTGTGTGTTTAGTATGCGTAGGTGCAGTGATGGTGTTATGTGTGTGCTCATTTGTGTGTAGTTTTTGTAACAAGAGTGTTTATTAGTATGTGTGTTTCGTGTGTTTGATGTGTGTACATGAATGTGTGTGCAGTGATTGTAATAAGTGTGTTCATTACTGTGTGAAGTGTTTGTGTATTGTTTGTGTGTGATAAGCGTGTACATGATGCTTGTGTGTTTTTTTGTGATGTCTGAGTTTTATGTGTATACAGTATCTTATACTATTGTATATATGTTTACATACATGTATTGCTACTCTCTAGCATGTCATATGCATTGTGCGCATTACAGCAAACATGAGAATGATGTGTGGGTTCATACATGTCTTGTGTATGTCTTCAATAAGTTAGGTGTCTGTATGCAACGTATCTGACAATGTTTACACTTGCTATTGTGTGTTTGGGTCATTACATGATTGAGGTCACAGTATTTCATTTCCGTGTAAGCATTTAGTAAACAATTCCGGCCACGTTTTCTCTCTTTTTAAATCCTTTATATTAAGTTCGCTTGCTTGCGTGCTTGCTTACGACCGTGCAAATCTTTCGGTCGTTTTTTAACCCACTTCCCGTGATCCAATCGAGCTGACATTTTGCACACAGACTCGTTGTGCGAGACAATTAATGTTCGTGAAAAAAATTTTCTCCAAAATTTTACACTTTTTAGGGAAAACAAATAAAATATTTAATTACCAATTGCTTAATGGTGGCAGACAATCATCTGACCCATAGGTGGCAGCCATCTCAAGCCAGAGGACGGGAGGACTTTAGCCGCCACGCATATAAAGGATTTATAGTGAAAAACTTTGTTTTTACGGGTTACACTTATTCTATACCAAGGGTGCAGGATTTCCCTTCCTCATCTGAAAGATGATTTGATGGCTTTTCTCTACGGACATGAAGTTCTTCCAATAATTTAACGATTATCGATCTCATCAGGGGTCCAGTGGTTCCATCTCTCGCACACTTCTCAAAGGTGACCATTTGTGGACTACCAATCATCAAGCCCTCGCCTTTGCCGCCTGCATGCCTCCGAATTGATGTCTTATCAATTATCAGTTGAACACCACGTGGGATTTCGCAACCTATATCCATAATATAGAGGCTTTTTTTGGGTTAGATCGAGTGAATATAAATGTTTCGTTAAACCCGACAGCCAATTAGTAAGGTTTTTCACAAAAACCAATATACACTGCCAAGCTTGGTGGCGTTCATTCGGACGCTGTCTTTCCGACAGCCCTGTTCTTCACCTGAGGACGGCTGCTTGCGTTGTGGCCGAAACGTCGTGAGAATTGTATTTTGTTATGTTTTATTTTTATTATTTTATTATTTCCCTTCTACGTGACTTTACCGAAAGAACCAAGACCAGGTCGCTTGTGTCTAAATGTGGAGAGAAAAACCGGAGGACCCGGAGGAGAAAAAAAATCCACGCCACAGAGACACTTGCAAACTCCGACCTCCTGTATACCAGGCGAGGTTGTTATGGGGCCGTCCATAAATGACGTCACGTACCTAGGGGTGGGGTGGGGGGGGTCAGACATTTGTGACGATGTGTGATGAGGGGGGGGGGATGTTTGAGAAATTTGACGTCACATCAAAATTCGCAACTTTAAATAAATATAGACAACACGTTCTACTTAATGAAATAGACTTTTTAATAAATGTTTTCTCCTACAACATCAGAGTGCAGCGGCACATTAAATACGCACTACAATGACAATAGTTTAAAGAGATTTGAAGCAATGCTTTATTTTGGGGGGGGGCGGGACAGAGCTTTGTGACGTCATATTTGAGGGGGGGGGTCTGACTTTTGTGACGCCGTGTGACGAGGGGGGGGGGGTCAAAAATCGTCCAAAATCGCGTGACGTCATTTATGGACGGCCCCTAACATCTCTCCCCTTCACGAAGCCGTACAGACTATTGTGGTAGATCTACGGTCAAAACGACCCCACGACAGACAAGGCCATGGGGAGGCCATCAAAAAAGCAGTGCATTGACAAAGCGATGTTGAATATTCAAACCGCATATAATCAATTATTCTGTCGTATATTTACTTGAACGTGCACTTGCGCAGCCAATTGTAAAACTGCTGTACGCATGAGCCTTACCATTCTGGCGAATTGCCCGATGATGCTGGATGCAATTACCAGCGAAACGTCGTACTACTCAAAAATTGTAAATGTTGTGCTTTCACGCTTCAACACACCGGTGGGCTAAAGCAGTGAACTATTTGTCTTTTGTCAACGTGACACTTTATTTACTGATTGGCCGTGTCGGGTGGTGGAGGGTTACGACACATTTATAAATAACGCGATCTAACCCAAAAACGTTGATTATGAACAAGTGAAGAACAAGTGCAGAATCGGAACAATAACAGCATTGAGTTTGAACACATTTCACATGCCCTTGCTGCATTACGACGAATGAGGTGGCCTTCATACCTTCATACCTCAGTGCTCAATGCACATGACTGGCGGTCAGTGTGCTCACGACTAAACAATTTAGCGTGCCGTTCACGGCATTTTCTGCTTGAATTACCAAAGTATGCATGTGTAACCCACGCACCTCCGATTAGCACGGGTTGGCTACGTAGGGTGTGAAAGAAGTTCAACACACAAGACCCCCCCCCCCCCCACCATATAGCTTTGCCAGACTGTAGGAGCAAGTGCTGTTCGAGAGCACCTATGAAGGCCAGCACAGCACACGAAGGGGATGGGTGGCCAGCACCACGCCCGGCTGCGTTTGTCTTCCCAGTGGTGATGTTGACACACCGCACGAGGTACTCATTTTCAGTTCAGTTTTCAGTTTCATTTATTTGGTACGGCACTGTGAGCCATTCGGCTCTTGAATCGGGTGCACCCGCAACAAACAAAAACATTAACAAGAAAACATCTTAATTTGACTATGTGACTATGTGCAAACAGAAAATCCAAGAAAAGACATTTGACGCTGAGTCGACCTAGGGGAGGCCCGGGAATGGTTCAAATAATCGTCACTGGCGTTGGCCGTGAGCGGTAATCGAGCTCGGGTCGCCGGATTTGTACACTGCTACCACTACCGCTCTCCACATGCATTGTGTCCCGTCCTTCTGGCTGTGATCTTCGCTGAGAAAGACAGGGGTGGTGGTTCTTGCTGTCAAATCAAAATGTGAACGTGTTCCAATAACACCGCGCGTCGTTTTCTCGCTTCGACTCTGATGTCTCCGATGTTGCAGCACGCCGCACTCACACATCCGCCACCCCACACAGGGAGTTCTCCAGGAGATGACGATGATGGTGAGGCCCGATGGTGCTTGTTTTATTTGCCCCATGAAAAGGAGATG